GGAATTCTGGGAGTTGAAGTCCACCAGGCTTAAAGTTGCCAAGGTTGGAGACCCCTGCTCTAAACTGTCCATCATGTATTCCTCTAACCCACTTGTTTCTCAAGTTTGGCAACTTTTAAGATTTGTGGATTTCAACTCCCAGAATTTCCCAGCCATGGGTGTAGAGCTGCCCGATTTAGGCTGCGATATTACAACAACACACACACACACACCCAGCTGTCTTCTGTTGTGTTTACAGTGCTGGTGGCTGGGTGGCTGGGCTGGTTGGAGAGAGGCCTTAAAGGGGCAGCGCACCCTCATCGCAGGTGGCAGCCATTTTCCTGGCTGCACAAAATGATACAGAAACTTCTGACTTTGCTGCCCTCTAGTGGCTACCAAAGAGTGTCAGTCTGATGTACAGTAGAGGTAGTCCTTGATTTGCAGCCATTTGTTTAGTGGCCTTTCGTAGTTACAACAGCATTGATAAAGTGACATGATCATTTTTCACACTCAACAACCGTTACAGCGTCTCCATGGTCACATGATCAAAATTTGGTTGCTTGGCAACTGCTTCATATTTACGATGGCTGCAAGTGTCCTGGGGTTAAGTGATCAATTTTTGTGACCTCATAAGCCAAGTCAAGGGGGAAAGCCAGATTCACTTAACAACGACATGTTACTACCTTAACAACTGCAATGATTCACTTAAGAACTGTGGCAAGAAAGGCATAAAATGGGGCAAAAGTCCATTTGACAAACTTAACAACTGTTTTGCTTAGCAACAGAAATTTTGGGCTCAATTGTGGTTCTAAGTTGAGGACTACTTATATGGAGTAGTTAAAGGCACTAGGCTAAAAACCAAGAGTTCCAGTCCCAACTTAGGTATAATGCCTGCTTAGTGATATTAAGCCAGTCTTCCTCCCTCAGCTCTAGGGTGCAGGTAATGGCAAACTACTTCCCAAAAAAACCTGCAGGGACCTGTCCAGGCAGTCAGTAGGAGCAGGGGTGGGATTCAACCGGTGTTACTACTGGTTCGGTCAGAGTGCTATGCGCATGTATAAAACAATTAAACATCAGCTTTGCTATGTGGACAGCTGAGAAGTGCTGCGCACAGGTGTGTAGCATTTGGCAAGCCTCTTTTTTCCTGCTTTTTCAATCTCAGCTGCGCCAGGCAAAGCAGCTGAGGTTGAAAAAGCAGGAAATAAAGGACAGGCAAGAGCCCAGGCGAGAGGGTGGGCCAATCAGACGACCAAAAGGTCGTTGCACCGAACCGGTTTGGTGTCTGCTGTTCTTCAGAGCTACCAGTTCTATAGAACCAGGCCAAACCAGTAGCATCCCATCCCTGAGTAGGAGTCAAAAACTGAGTTGAAGTTATGTGTGCTTGCACACACACTCACACAAAAGAACCAGATATTTGCAAACCAGATATAAAACCCATAGTTTTATAGCAAAAACCCAATTAATGACTTGATTCCTCAATATATGCCTGCTGATTTGCTTCCAAATCTGTCTGTTTGTCTATATCCATCCATCCATCCATCCATCATCTGTGATCTCCCTCTGTCTATCATTTCTACCTATCCATTAGATACCATTGCCAAATTTATTTTCTCTTTTTCAAATCATGTTTCAATTTTAATTCTATGCCTCAGCCTGCTTTGGAAACTTTGGATAGCTGCATCTTACCCAGATCAGATTGTAACGCTTTCGAAGAGCATGAGATCAAAGGTGTGATGCATTCTAGCATTAGGATGGAGATCATGTGTGGATCCAGAGCTTGTACTAGATCATGAGGAGCCCTTAGACAGACCCTGTACCTTATTGTCAGCCCTTCAAAGCAGACCAGACCAGGAAACAAAGTTATGAATATTAATCCTGCTTTTATTATAAGGTTACAGTTACAGAATCTTGCAAATCTGAATACACTTTCCCTCACCCTCTCTATATCTTCATGAGATTTTGTCTGAGACGCTTTCTCATGTTACAGTTCTGCCCAGGTTCAGGTTTCTTTTATCTATTGCCCTGGTTGCACCTCTTCCCCCTGTTCCTCAAGGTTATTCCTTCTTCCCATGACATCTACTGGATGAGCTGAGCAAATGTCTTTCAGGGAACACCGTCCATCTTTTCTGTAGGTTCCTGTAGGATCTCTGGATAGAGTTAGACATGCAGAAGATAAGATTACTGTGGTCCCTGACTTACAACCAAAATTGGGCCCAGATACTCCATTGCTAAGCAAGTGAGTCGTGCCTACTTTTTTGACCTTTTTGTGAAATGTTTGTTAAACAAATCAGTGCAGTTATTAAACGAATCGCCTGGTTGTTAAACACATCCAGCTTTCACCATTGACTTACCTTGTCAAAAATTGGCTGGGAAGGTTACAAATGGTAATAAAACAACCCCAGGATGCTGCAACCATTGTAAAAATGCCGGTTGCCAAGTGTCCAAATTTTGATCATGTGAATGTGATGATGATTGTAAGTGTGAGGACTAGTAACCCTAACCTTAGCCCTAACTCTGAATGATGATGACTAAATGTATGGCTGTAAATCAAGGCGTAACTATATATTACAAGTATTAATCTATTTGCTTTTTCAAGATATAGGTAGTCTTTGACTTACAGCAGTTCATTTAGTGACCATTCGAACTTCCAACGGCACTGAAATAAGTTACTTATGACAGTTTTCACACTTATGACTGTTGCAGCATCCCCACGGTCTTGTCATCGAAATTCAGACGCTTGGAGACTGACTCATATTTATGCAGTATCCCTTGACAAGCAAAGTCAATGAGGAAGCCAGATTCACTTAACAACCCTCTTACTAACTTAACAACTTCAGTGGTTCTCTTAACAACTGTGGCAAGAAAGGTCGTAAAATGGGACAAAACTCGCTTAACAAGTGCCTCACTTAGCAACAGAAATGTTAGGCTCAATCGTGGTCGTAAGTCAGGACTACCTATACTTTCTCAGTGCTTTCATCCATGATTTGAGCTGAACAACTTTTAATGAGCAAAATCAAAACAAAGGAAGCAAAATGAAAATGAAGGTAGGGACTATCAAAATCAGGATATTAACAGCAAAATTGTATTACTTCCTATCCTTCCTTCTTCTCTTCTCTTCTCCCATACATCCCCCAAGATCCAAAGGAAAACAACAAAAGAGATTGTGTAGCATTTGTATTGGTTTTAAGGGTGAGGATTAAAGGTAGAGCGATCTATATCTGGGTCACTGGTGGTGGATCTGGAGAGTGGACGGATTCATTCCACCCTTTCATCCACTGATCTTCATCCCAGTGGAAACCGAGGGCATTGACCATCGATCCTGACCTCCCACTGATGAACCTCAGAACTGTGTTGGGGTACGAGGGCTCTGCGGTGAATGGCAATCCCAAACCGGAATTCGGCCCAAAGGCAAAGACATGGCCCATATTGGTGCGGAAGGCCAGGTATTCCACAGTGTTTCCGAAACGGCCGTTCACCTGCACCAATCCCTCCCCAAAGGACAGGTGCATGTCCAAAGGGCGGCCTGCTGTAGTTCCTTCATTATTGGACCATATGTCACCATAGCAAACCTGGATGCTGCATTAACAAGAGAAAGATGATGTTAGGTGTAGAATCACCTTAAGTGGAAATTAATAATGATACTCAGGAGGGGTCCTTGGTGCTCTCTTGTTCGTTTCCTTGCAGGTGTTTCATTATCCAAATTAAGTAATGTCATCAGTGTTACAGGCAGCACTGGTGGTGTTACCTAGTTGGGTCATGAAATGTCTGCAAGAAAACAAGCAAGCTCAAAAAGCACCAAGGATCCCTCAGTTCAAAACTGAACTACACATATTCTCTTTTATTGATCATGCTCATTTCAGCAGACCCCCACAGAAAAGGAAAAGGTCTTTCACCTACACTTCCATCATCTTACCTAGAATGAAGAAGAGCTAGGAAATGCTTCCAGAATAGTGTTTCTTCACCTTGGCAACTTGAAGATCTATGGATTTCAATTCCCAGAATTCCCAACCAGCTATGCTGACTGGAGAATTCTGGGAGTTGAAGTCCATTCATCTTCATGTTGCTGAGATTTCAGAAATACCATTTTCCTTCAGTATTGATCTAGGTATGTACTTTAGATACGATCTGCAGCCCTTAGACATGTGTTTTCACATATAAATAGCTTATTGACTGATTAATCAATCAATTATCAATAAACCATTTCCACATTTGGGTTATTTATGCTCTCCTCAGTTGATTCATATTTTTTAGCTTTCAAGTTAAAGCCCAGCTATATAAGGTTCATGTAGATATGCATACCTTAGTATACCTCTGTCATTTGACCTTATTTTCATCGCTGATATAGGGCCTTCAAACTGGTTGCTGGACTGATCAAAATAGTCTCCACCATTACCACCATATTCACCAGAGTAGGAAGAAAACTTTCTCTGGTCTGGATCCATAAAGAAGAAGGAGAACCAATTAATTGAACAAGTTATTCAATCAACCAATCTATTCCTGATCTTCCTATGTCCCTGCAGAATAGCTCATGAAGCTGTATCCCATTTTGTGTCCCCTGATTAAACAGCCTTGTATGTGTATATAGACATGATCACTCAGAGGGGAACTAGAGTCCCATACAAACAATCACATAGGCGGTGAAGAAAGACTGCTAGAGAGAGGAAGTCCTCTTGCAGATTCCTGCTCTAACTTCCCATTCTCGAGAAGCTCAAATATTATTGAAGAAGTTATATGTTCTACTGAAACTCAAATTCAAAACAAAGTAACACCATTAATGTTTGAAAATGTACTTATTTAATAAAGCAGGTGAATCAATAGAGGTGGTTGTGAATGATTATTGAGAATGATGGCTAAGAGTTAGATCACCATGCTGGCTGTGGAATTCTGGGAGTTGAAGTTCACCCATCTTAAAGTTGCCAAGGTTGAGAAATGCTGGGTTTTTTTTTTCCCTTTTGTAAATCTTACCAGGAATCATCAATTTACAACCAGTCTCTTAACAATTGTCTGAAGTTACGACAAACTTCAAAACTGCCACTTACGACCTATCTTCCAAATTACAACTACCACCCATCTTCCAGTGGTGGGATTCAGCTAGTTCACACCATTTTGGGAGAATTGGTTGTTAACTTTCTGAGCAGTTTGGGGAACTGGTTGTTGGAATAAATCATTAGGGCAGAGAACCTGTTGTTAAATTATTTGAATCCCACCACTGATATCCTCTGAAGTCACAGGAACACATTTTAGGACCTTGGCAACGAACTCCCATTTATAACTGGTTGCAGCATCCTGCAGTTTTATGACTATGATGTTTTTTTGCAGAAAACACAACAAACACTTATTGAGTATGCTTGGCAGCCATGGAGACTTAGTTTACTGACCATTGTAAAAATGGTCATCAAATTGAGTTGTCATGTGTTGTTTTCACTTATGACTGCAACAATTTGTGACTGAAACTCTGGGTTTCATTAAAGTCATAAGGATTACATGTACAAGCAAAGTGAGATAACGGTTCTCAGGATTATAAATTTAGGATTTTATAATTGTATAAATGTTCTTTCTACTATATAAATCTATCATGGTATATCTTGAAGTTGTTGCTTATGTGCAATTTTAACCAAAATTTACTTTTAATTTTTGATAACAGTTGGACCATACTCTGGGGACACATTATAAGTATTATTTATAAATAATATAAATTATTGGTTGGCTAGTTTTTATTTTTCTTTGGCCAGTAACCTCTGCAGATTTATTTACAAAGCTGTTGTACATATCAGGACTATAAGCTGATGCTTTGCTTCAGATTTACTCACAGAGAAAATGAGAGAGAGAAAAAAAAGAAATTTAAAACATATCCTGTAGTGAAATTTTATATGAGTCATCATGGAGCCTGTTTGGCTTCTTAGCCCATATAAGGCCAATCAGATGCTTCCTTTAGCTGAGGCAGAAGAGAATTGAAATGCGTGGGAATGAAGACCCATGTTGAGAATTGGGTTAGCCATCTATTAATATTTGGGATTAAAGGATTTGTTTACTAAACTACAAGATTGGCTGCTAAACTAGTATTACATTAGAATTACAATTTTCAAACCCACTTTAATCATTTAATCCTGTCCTGTAATTGTAGAGAACTATGCAATCAATTAGTGATTTAATTCAAATTATATCTTTTTTGGCCAGCCCTTGTAACTCAGATCTGCTACAATTATCCATATATTGCTGGCTGGGAAAAACTGCTTAACCAATACATTTCTAATTAAATAGGTGACGGGTTCCTTCTCTTAAATCTTGCAATATTAGGGGACCTAGAAATATGCTTTTTCTGTGGTTGCTCTGTTATTTGGATAAGCCTCAATTCTCCTTGGACTGCCATTTGTCAGAAATGGTGTAGGGTCTCCCTCTTGGGCGGGGGGTTGGACTAGATGACCTACAAGGTCCCTTCCAACTCTGATTATCTGTTATCTGTTATCCTCACCTTAAAGAGCTGTTAAACTCAAGCTTTAGGGGCAAACAGAAGAATTCCCTTTAGTTGTTCTCTTATACAGTATGCTTAATTGTCGTTGTATATTTTGGATCTTACACAATGCACATGTTTTAAAGTTATATGGTCTGGGGGTGTGCTTTTTTGTTTATTGTTTGTTTTATTGTTTTAATAGAATGTATTTTATTTTTTCTTATATACACTGAGAGCATATGTACCAAAGACAAATTCCTTGTGTGTCCAATCACACTTGGCCAATAACAAATTCTATTTAATTCTATTTTATTGTTTTTTTGGGTTGTTCATCATGCAGTCACAGTGTTTAAGCCTTATAAATCTGCATAAAAATATAAAGTTTTAATGTGTATTTTCCAAATCTCTACGCTTTTAACATATAGGTTGGGGGCCTCCCGCGTCTAACATTTGCCTACAGTACACATCTGGTCCTTGCAATTGACATTTTTATTTTATTTTTATTTATTTTATTTGGTTTGTCAATTGTTTACAAGATTATAGGTGTGAGTAAAAACATAGTTATGAATATATGGATACATATAAGAAAAATAAAAGAAATAATGGGACAGGGACGGTAGGCACGATTGGTGCGCTTATGCACTTATAGGCCTCTTAGGAAGGGGGTGAGGTCAATAGTAGAAAGTCTAAGGTTAAAGTTTTTGGGGTTTGGGGAAGAAACCACAGAGTCAGGTAGAATATTCCAGACATTGACCAGTCTATTGCTGAAGTTATATTTCCTGAAATCAAGTTTGGTGCGATTAACCTTGAGTTTGTATCTGTTGTTTGCTCTTGTATTGTTATGGTTGAAGCTGAAGTATTCATTGACAGGTAGGACATTACAATGTATGATTTTATATACTATACTTAGATTGGACCGAAGGTGGCGTAGTTCTAGGTTTTCTAGTTCTAGAATTTCAAGTCTGGTGGCATAAGGTATTCTGCAATGAGTAGACGAGTGGAGAACTCTTCTTGTGAAATATTTCTGGACTTTCTCAACTGTGTTAATATCAGATACATAATGTGGGTTCCAACTGATGAGCTGTATTCGAGTATTGGTCTATCAAATGTTTTGTATGCTCTAGTTAATAGTGTAATATTACCAGAGAAAAAGCTACATGAGAAAAAATCCACATGTATACAAACACACCTTTCTAAGTGCAAATTATCACAATTTGCTACAATTCTTATTCCTCAGGCATTGGATAGAATTCAGTGAGAGTGTTTCTAGGCCTATGTTTTTCAACCTGGGCAGTTTGAAGATGTGTGGACTTCAACTCCCAGCATTCCCCAGCCAGCCAGCTAGAGCTTACCTGAAGTAGTTGACACTTCAGCACAAAAAAGGGAGAGAAACACAAAAAACAGCATCTGGAAAAATGAAATTGGCTTAATCTGAAAGCTGCAGAACAGGAGAGAGTTATAGTTAACGTGTTATCTTTTACAATACAGTTTTAAGCATGATGTACCATTGAATTAAACAGATATTTTTTTTTTGTAAATATATCTCTTTAGAACAGGCGTGTCAAACTCTATTTCACTGAGGGCCGCATCAGGGTTGTGTTTGATCTTGGGGGGAGGGGGGAGGGGGTGTGGCCAGCTCGACGTCATTCATGTTGAGGGCGCCTGTGGTGGCCCAAGCGCTCTGCACTCCCAAGCTCCATTTTCGGCTGCGATGGCCTCCTGAAACCCTCTGCCAGGAAAAACGGAGCTCGGGAGGGCTGCACGCAGCCCTCCCGAGCTCTGTTTTCGCTGGCAGAGCACTGCAGGCTGATCCTTTGCTGTTTCCAGGGTAGCCCTTCAAGCCAGATCTAAGCACTCTGCAGGCTGGATCCGCCCCCAGGCCTTGAGTTTGACAACCCTGGTTTAGAAGACCAACCTTAAATTCATTACAATACATGTAGACCTTGACATATAACCATTCATTTAGCAACTCTTCAAAGTTACAGTGGCACTAAAAAAAGAGACACATAACTGGTCGTCATGCTTATGACCATTGTAACATCCCCATGGTTATGTGATAAAAATTCAGGTTACATAGCAATCAGCTGGTTGTGGCATGCCAGGATCATGGGATCGCCCAGCTGGTTCAAACAAGCAACGTTAATAGCAATAGCACTTATACTGCTTTATAGTGCTTTATAGTCCTCTCTAAGTGGTTTACAGAGTCAGCATATTGCCCCAAACAGTGTGCATCCTCATTTTACCAGCCTTGCAAAGATGGAAGTCTGAGTCAATCTTGAGCCTGGTGGGATTCGATCTGCCAAATTGCAGGCAGCTGGCAGTCAGTAGCCTTAATGGGGGAAACCAGGCTCATTTAACAACTTTAGTAATTCTCTTAATTGTGGCAAAAACCAGACATCACTTAAATCACTTAAAAACTGCCTTGCTTAGCAACAGAAATTCTGTCAAATTGTGATAGCAAGTTAAGGACTAACTGAAATAAAGATGCGGGGATATCATCTTAACACAGTGATGGCAGGCAATTGAATTGGAAGCAGGTAAAATGCAGCAAGATATGAAAAAGAGATAGTTTTTTTTTAAAGGAAAGGCAACTAGAAGGAATTGCCAGTTCAAAAATGCTATTTTAAATTCAGGTTATTGTTAAATTATTCTATTTAAAATTCAGTCTTCTACTATAGTATTAGGGAGCTGTAGGATTTAGGATGTCATGATGTTGGCTGAAATAAGAATTTGAAGGCAAAAACCTAAAAAGAAAAAAAACCATGCAAGCAAAATAAAAAAATAAAAGCTCTGATTGTGGTGTCATTAAAATACCATCCCTTCCATATTTCTATGTCAATTCAGAAGGAGGTCCTGTTAATTTTAGTAAATTTATTTGTAAGCCAATGTATTTTGGATTGGATTTATAAGACTTCTCTTTCTTTCTCCTTCTCTTTCTCCTCTTTCTGCTTCCATCTCCCCTTCCACATGTTTTTCTTTCTTTCTTTCCTCCCTCTCTCCCTCCTCCCTCTTTCCTTCCTTGCCTTGTTCCTTTTATTCTGTTTCCTCCCTCCCTCCCCACTTCCACCCATTTTTCCTTTTTTCCTCCCTTTCTTCCCTCCTTCCTCCCTTGTCTTCTTCCCCTTTTATTCTCTTTCCTCCCTCCCTTCCCTCCTCTCTCCCATCCATCCATCCATCCATCCATCCATCCATCCATCCAGGAGATTCTCCCCATAAAAATGTCCTTAGATACAAGGTGTATCTTTTCACCCCTGTAATTATCACCATAGGTGGATCTA